CGTCTACCCAAGTCGTGCTGGACCTCGGAGTTGCCCAGTGGCAGAGGCAAAGAGCTGGTATCCGGTGTGCTTTCATGGCGCCGTCCGGACAGCACTTAGATCACCCACTCTCATGCGACAGAACATGGACAACATGGACTGGTGCAATGTGAAGCCAGGCCGGAGGCGTACTTGTTGCTGTTGGTGTCAACCTACTCAGTCTCACGAGTCATGCAGGCCATGACAACGCAAACCCTCAGCCGAGCTGGATACGAACTTGTGGATGTAGCTGTAGCTCTGGTTGTTGTAGACCTGAGAGCATCTACGGTGATCCCACCTCAGGATCGTCTCAACGTCAGCAGAGGCGGACGAGCGCTCTTGCCCGTGTAAGGTCGCGGCATGGAGGAGCTCGAGGTCGTGGTGGTCCTGAGCAATGCAAGGGTGGAAGACAGAGAGCGAGAAGATTCAGCTGTTCAGGCGTTGGCTGACTGGTGGTAGTCGTGGTGGAGCTCTGGATCTGTGATGTGAGTCACCGGCATTTTCAGGTGCGATGTTGCTTTGCGTAGCAAGGCCACTGCGCCTCGGGACCGAAGTACCACAAGTCGTTCATGGTGCAGCAGGAGCCGGAGGTCCCGTTGTAGCCTGACGGCAAAACAGCACCGCAACAACAACTTGACAACTCGACTTGTGTAGTGAAGTGTAGTGCACGTTTCTCTTCTTCCGGCCTCCGAAGACCCAAAAGCGGCCGGAGGCGTCCATGGCCGAGGACTGCACGAATCGTGGAGGAGGCCACAGGCCGAGGCCGGGGCTGTCAACCTGTTTCCAGGCCTTGCGGGAGATGCTCAGTACGCCAACTTCAGAAGACCCCGAGAAGTTACCTGCTTGCCTGCCTCCCCAAAATACCACAGATCGTCGAGCACGGCGAAATAATCGTGACCTAGCTGGCATGGATGAGATTCGAGTCATGCTAACTCGCACAATGTGCGCCACAGCGCACGCCTCCGAAGAGCCAGAAGCGTCCCGCCGCATCCATGGCGGAACTGCAACCGGCTCGTACGGAGGGTGCGAAGCCGGAGCCAGCATCCGCCAGAGTCCACCCCGCCTACGACTGAACCAAGCTCTTGAGATCAATGTCAAGGGTCCTCCCTGTATGTAAAGTCCGAGTGCTGGCTTCGCTCCACCTCGACCGTGAAGTGCCACAGATCATTGCTCATGAATGGCGTGTTGAACGGCGCGTTCTCACCTGTGACCGGCGCTTGCAAGAAATCAGTAGACATCTCCGCTAGAGTGCTAGCGGCTAACGGGAGCACCCGCCTCCAAAGATCCAGAACCGCCCGGAAGCGTCCGCTTCCGCGGCACCGGCTTGGCGCGCCAACGGCCAGGTCTCCGAACCGGAGTTTGGGAGGCTCGTCCACCCCACCTCAAGAAGACGCGGAAAGGAAGGTCTAGTCTCTTTCCACAACTTCCAAGAACGGTACACTAGTTAGTCACGACTGATCTGGCAGCCGGCCCTGCTCGGTCACAGGCCCCTAACTGCCCGAAGCAGAAACGTCAACCCCTATCACCGTATCAGCCCTAAACTCACTCAGCCCTTGTAAACCCTCGACCGACGCCGAGAACCCATCGAAACTTCCCAAACCCCTGGCAGGCTTCCATCGCCCGGACAGACCCCAAATCCCACCGAAGCCCATACTAAGCGCACAAAAAGCTCAGAAAGTTCAAACGAGCTGTGGGCGTCTGGAGTGAAGTGCCAGAGGTCATTGAGGCCATCGACACGGAAGTCGTTCCCTGCAGCACCGGGGCACTGGGAACGCTCAGAGTTCACCTCCAAAAGGGCATCTGCCTCCGAAGACCCAGAAGCGGTTCAGCGCCATGGCCGAGACGTGGCCAAAGCGTGGGGACGGCCCCGAGCCGACCTCCACCTGGGTCCAAGCCTGGCTTCCG